AGAAACCTGTGTAATATCTGCAGAGCAGAACTTACCTTCCACAGCAATTATTTTTAGTTAGCGTATAGCTAAACTCTAACCATGGTTATATAATAGCAGCTGCATTCTGACGTGACAAGCTGTATGTTTTATATTCAATTAACGTATGATCCGATTAGTCGACTAATCGAATAAATATAATCGATTATTAAAATAATCGTTTGTGGCAGCCCTATTCATGATTAAATACAGCAAAATAAACTATTTCAAATGTAACAGATATTTCTACTACTTGATTTATTTACATAATGACTTTAAAGTACCCGTGACATTAAATTTAAGTGATATATTTGAGTAAATATTTGGAAAGATAACATTCATGATGAATTGCAAACGGAAATTCACGACACTGAAATGAACAGTTGTTGAGATATTCATATGTGAAGAAACAGGAAGTGATGTCAAAGGGGAATGCCTGAATGAGTTGTTAAAACGGCTGACAACAGACTGCAAAGAGTCAGATGTTTCTGTTGATTATTTTGAGTCATTATCAGATAGATAGAAGAGTCAGATTTATTTAAAAAAAACAGGAAGTTACCCTTTTATAAAGTGTTCCCCTTTGACATCACTTCCTGTTTCATTGGACTGCACCAAATTTAGCAAAAAATGTGCACGTTTTGTGACAGACTGAGTAAAAATCCTATGAATGATGCCAAATTTCTTAAATATTAGGATATTTTCTTTAATTTTTTTGTAATTGAAGAAAAAGCATGTCACAGGAACTTTACATGGTTCCACTAATCAGCTAACAGCTAACAGTGTAACATTTTTTTCTTTTTTGCGAATTAGCTTTTTAACAAAAACAAACAAACAAAAAAAGGTTTTTGGTTAGCTGTGCCCACCACTGCTATTGACCAATGGTGGGCACAGCTCACGAAAAAAGTTAGCTTCACTAACTATCTGCTAGCTAAAAATGTAGCTTTGCTAACACTAAACTGCTAAACATGTAACAGTAATAGCAGAAGCTAGTACTAAAATAGTTTTGTTTTTTTAAAAACAGTATTAAACAAATCAAAAAGCCTTTTTAAAAAGGCATAACTGCTGTCTTCACTGTAACTATGATAGCTAGCTATACGCTACTATATATTTTTTGCAATGGATGTACACTATGGGCACCAGTGACCCACGCGACCCTGAAAAGGAAGAAGCGTGTACAGAAAATGGATGGATGGATGGATGTACACTATACTACTATACTATACTACTATAACTACGGCTTTTATCCTTTATAACGATGAGGGAAAGTATGCCCTCGATAATCATTTTTAAAGTGGCTGTGGCATCAATTTTTAGTAATAAACATGAAAGCATTTTTGGAAAGATAACATCGATAAAATATTGCAAAACAAATTTCACGCCACTGAGATGAACAGTTGTTGAGATATTTGCATGTGAAGAAACAGGAAGTGATGTCAAAGGGGAACGTCTGCGTGTAAACAGAGCGTTGTTACAACGGCTAACAACAGAGACTGTGGAAAAGAATGTGATGTTTCTTTAGATTATTTTGAGTTTCTATCAAAGACAGATGAAGAAGAGTAAAAGTTTAAATAATATTGTTTTAACAAACAAAGACCAGAGAGTTTTATTTGTTAAAGAGTTCCGCTTTGATGTCACTTCCTGTTTCACTTTGGCTGAGTCAAGTTCAAAATAAAATAGGCCAGTTATGAGTCAAAATGTGTAAAATAATGTGTACTATGCCAATTTTCTTAAGAATAAAGATGTTTTCTTTGACTTTTTGTATTTGAAGGATAGGCATGTCACAGGCACTTTAAAGGGTGATGTCTGGAGATCATATCAGAGCCTTCATTTTAGTGTTTTGTGACACATTGGAGTCCCAACCCTAACTTTGGGAACCACTGAGGTATACCAACTGAAAGATTGGGTCAAAAAAAAAATTAAAACACACATTTATTCCATTATAAGCACACCTTTTCTCCGGTGCCACAAAAAAAAAGTCTCACACAAAACATTTACCGTAAAGCAGGAAGCGTGCTATTGTCTAGAATTTTGCTGCATGACAAAGTGTTTGGATTTTCATTGTTTAAACTACTCAATACAAAAGAAAAGCACAAGAAAATAAGCAACTGGTGGCAGGTTGGGGGTCTCCAAATGTGGTCGCAAAAAAGTTGGGCTCTGCATGGTCTTGTTTGAAATGAACAAAAGGGACTGACAGTTTGATTAAATTACAAATGCATAATTTATGTAAACAATTGACCTATTCACAAGTTCTGCTCTCACCACTTCTGCATCTGTAATAAATTTATCAGAGTAAGTCATGTGCTGCGCAGGACAAAGTTTATCCATATGGGGGGTCCTGTGGTCTTCTGTAATGTCTGTTTATGTTGGTTTCTGAGACTTGAAAGTGAAACTTCCCTGAACTGCAGTCAGTTCGCTCTGCTGTTAACCCTGCTACAACTCTCTATAGAAATAAAAACTGGAGTTAATTTGAAAACAGTGTCGACAGACAGCTTTCTTAATACTTTATACGTTTTATTTACTCTACAATAATGCTAACAATAGCAAAACAAGTAAATGTTGTCATTTTAAAACTACTAATATTTCAGCACCTAAACTAGGCTAAAACTAGTTTTAGCCAATGTCTCAAAGTCTAACCTAGGCTGTAAGCACTGCTAGCATTAACTTATGTCTCAGCATGTACGCTAGGCTAAAATTAGCATTATGTCTCTGCATCTAACTAATGTTAGCTAATGTCGCAGCATTTTAGCCAGGCTATAAATAATGTTAGCATAAACTATTTTCTCTGCATCAAAATCAGTTTAAAAGTAATGTTAGCATTAACTAATGTCCCTTTTTCTACATTAGACTAAAAGTAGCATTAATGTATATCTCAACATCAATGCTAGGCTGAAAGTAGCATTAACTTATGTCTCAACATCTATGCTAGGCTAAAAGTAGCATTAATGTATGTCTCAACATCTATGCTAGGCTAAAAGTAGCATTACGTAATGTTTAAGCATTAAAGATAGGCTAAAAGTAGCATTAACTTACGTCTCAGCATCTATGCTAGGCTAAAAGTAACATTAATGTATATCTCAGCATCTATGCTAGGCTAAAAGTAGCATTACTTAATGTTTCAGCATTAAAGATAGGCTAAAAGTAGCATTAACTTATGTCTCAACAACTATGCTAGGCTAAAAGTAGCGTTAACTTATGTCTCAGCATCTATGCTAGGCTAAAAGTAGCGTTAACTTATGTCTCAGCATCTATGCTAGGCTAAAAGTAGCATTACTTAATGTTTCAGCATTAAAGATAGGCTAAAAGTAGCTTTAACTTATGTCTCAGCATCTATGCTAGGATAAAAGTAGCATTACTTAATGTTTCAGCATTAAAGATAGGCTAAAAGTAGCATTAACTTATGTCTCAGCATCTATGCTAGGCTAAAAGTAGCTTTAACTTACGTCTCAGCATCTATGCTAGGCTAAAAGTAGCTTTAACTTACGTCTCAGCATCTGTACTAGGCTAAAAGTAGCATTAATGTATATCTCAGCATCTATGCTAGGCTAAAAGTAGCTTTAACTTACGTCTCAGCATCTATGCTAGGCTAAAAGTAGCATTACTTAATATTTCAGCATTAAAGATAGGCTAAAAGTAGCTTTAACTTATATCTCAACATCTAAGCTAGGCTAAAAGTAGCATTAACTTATATCTCAACATCTATGCTAGGCTAAAAGTAGCTTTAACTTACGTCTCAGCATCTATGCTAGGCTGAAAGTAGCATTACTTAATGTTTCAGCATTAAAGATAGGCTAAAAGTAGCATTGGCTAATGTTGTTAAAGCTAAACTAGGTCAAAAGTAGCAATAACGAATATTGTCTAAGCATATAAGTTAAGCTCAAAGTAGCATTAGCTAAAGTCTCTGAAGCTAAGCTATAAGTGAATTTGGCAACAGCTAATATTTCAGAAGCTATTTTTATTTAATTCACAGTTTGGTTTAATCTGTTGACTTTTTTTTTAAACAAAAATGTTTGTGTATCATTGGTTTCAACCAAAACACCAAAGCTGAAGCTATCGAGCAGCTATACTTAGCAAAGTTAGCATAGCAGTGCATCTATGTTTTCGGATTTTTCGACAAGGTTCATCCGGTTTTTTTTTTTCTCTGACGTTCATATGTGAGTGTTATGTTTGTTAAATGTTTATGTTTGAGTTTTCTGCAGCTTTTCTGTAACACACTCTGCTGATATTCACCAGCAGCTGTAGCAGGTGGACTGGAACCATCTGGCAGAGCTTTAATGGAAACTCTGGTGCTTCTTCTTCTTCTGCAGGTGGAGATCACTCTGCAGGACGTCAACGACAACCCGCCTGTTTTTCCTAACGACATCCTGGACATGACCATCGAGGAGAACGTCGGCGACGGCTTCAAGATAATGCAGCTAACAGCCACAGACGCAGACGAGGTCAGAAACGTTTTATTATGTTTGACTCGGGTTTTCTAATTATCTTTGCCCGTTTTCCCTTCAGCTGCTCTCAGGCCCTGGCCTCCCTCACAAAAGAGATCTGCGATCTCAATGGGGTTCGCCTGGTTAGATAAATAAATAATAATTTTATTTTATTATAAAATTACTATAAGGCAGAAAGCCATTTCAAACAGTTATGACTTGATGCCAGGAAACTTTTCACGTCCGTGACTGATTAGAGCGAGTGTTCGTCCTGCTCCTGATGACGGATGCAGCTAATAAGTTTAGAGTTTTTCAAATTAAAATCACAAACAAAAACAGATTTTGTAATCTAATTATTTTGTGCTGTTTTAGACATTAATAAATCAAAATGTTTGGTTCAGTCAGGAGATCTAAGTTGTGATTTTTTGTTAATTATGTACGTTTTAAAATATTTATTTTTATTTACAAATATTTCCCCCATAGAAGGACACTGAGACTTTATCAGTTCCTTCAAAAATTTTATTGGAACACTTGTTTTTTTGTTTTTGTCATCTTGTGCTACATTTACTTTGTAATTTGGTTTTTTCTAATTGTAGCATTTAGCCAGCATTTTGCTGCTTATAGCTACCTGGTGGCTTCTTTTAGCTCGCCTTTTGCTACTTATAGCTACCTGGTGGCTACTTTTAGCTCGCCTTTTGCTACTTATAGCTACCTGGTGGCTACTAATGAGTCTTTGCTACT